CCGGTTGCACGGGCACACGCGTGACCGTGCGACGGATGCGCGACGCCTACATCCACGCCTGGCGTCTGCGGGCGTGCAAAAGGGCGCATCGGTGCGCAGCGGGTTACTTGCGTGCCCGTGCGCTACGTGCCTGCAAAGCGAGCGTGCACGCGTGTGCGAGGGCCACCCACACAGCCCGGGGTGGCTTTGACACCCGAGGGTGCAGGGCAGAGCACCCACGGGTGCCCCGCCTGGTACCCACACAGGACGACCCCGGTATCCCCCTCCGCGGGGTCGGTGCTTTTCCATCACATCCCGGGGACCGCAGGGAAGTGCTTTTAACGGCAGCGCTTTGTTAATTATCGCAACAAACGATAATAATTACCGGACCTCTCACATTTCCCCCTTTTCACCCCAAAACACATGAAGAAGAGTTTTTGCTCTCGTTCAGGATCACGTTTGGTGCGGCAAATCCCCCCCATCCACAGCAAAACTGCAGCACGGCACCGACGCAAAGGAGGCAGCGCCTTTTCGAGAAGATTTGAGCTTTTTTTTTTTCTTTTTGCTTTTTTTCTTCTTTTGCATATAAGAGGTTTTTTTAATCCTTGCCGCTACCCAGTCTCCACCGCCCACCGCTTCCTTGAAGTGAGACAGGAATTTCCCAGCCGCGTGCTTGTTTTAACGCCCCGTGGATCAGCATCCTGGGGAAGGGGAGCGAGCCGGGGAAGCAACACGTACGCAGCAGCCGTGGCAAAGCTGCTTACGCGCCTCGGGGCCGCCAGCGCGGATTAGACACCCGCGGGGCTTAAGACATCTTAATTTGATCGTACATCTGCGTTCCCCGTATCTACCGGGGACGTGCAACGCCGAGGGCAGCGTGCCGGGGCCGATGAAGAACCGGGCAAAGCTCCATCACGCGTCCGAAACCCCGCCACGGGGGATCGGATGGGGAGCAGAGCGGCTCCTTTTAAATGGCTTTAGTAGTTGGAGGAGCAAAGCCTGGGGAGGTGAACGTGGCTGCACGGCCCCGGGGGGATCAGACCTGCCAACCCTGATGTGCCGCGGGTGAACGCTGCTCATCAACGGACCGTATGTTTCCTGCTCCGTACGGGCACGGCTGGGCTCTGCGTCTTGCACCAAGCTTGTTCGACACCCAGGTAAGGGGGAAAAAAAAAATAAAATAAAAAAATCTTCATTTACAGGGTGTTGGTGAAGGTTTGGCAGTGCAGAGCAGTCGGTGGGAGAGCACACGAGGAGTGAGCAACGCCAGCAGCAAGACAGGCAGCGAGGCGGTGAAGTCATCTGTCCAGGAACCGGGACAATCTTCTGCACCGAGCGACGCACAAGAAATAACCATGACTCAGTTTCTGGCGTGCAAGCAGCAGGCACAGATTTTCTACCTCCTCTCCAACATCCGTGAGCATCAGACAATCATCGATCTGCACGAGCCACCACCACGAACCTCCGTCGGTCAAGTCAGCAACGCACAAGCAGCTCGGGATGGGACAGACTGCCTTGCTGGCAGCTGCAGGTTGGCTTGGAGGACTGGAGCGACATCCATATGGACGTACCCACAGTAGAAACGTTGAGACCGGCCTGGACAGAGGTTGAGCGGGAAGGTCTGGCTGTGGGAGCAGCAGAAAGCAGGAGAACCATGGTCAGCAGGTCCTCAAGCTGTTGGCTCACATCTACCACCAGCTAGTTGGGACTCCAGGGTTGAAAGACAATAGCCAGAGAATTAATCCTCGTAACTCACAGAGAAGGGGAACAAGACAGAGTGCAAATCACTGCCAGCTCCTAAGAGGTACAAAAGGGCACATCCAAAACCAATACATGGTCACCAACCTAAGAAAAGCCCACGAGATGGGATGAGGATACAATAGCTGCAGTCCCTCGTCCTCAGCGTCATCGCAAGGAAACCTGGCATGCATGTCTCAGTGCTTTTGAGTGGGGGGGGATGGGGGTGTAATGGTGCAACCACCAGAGCAAAATCAGTTTTATTTAAAAACAAAATGCCTTCCCTTCCTGTAAGGTTTCCCAGCAAACCCTGACAGCATTTGCAACATTATTTCCTACCTACCCAGACGCTTCTACTTACCGTGACTGTATCTCAGCCACATCCTACAGGACGAAGGCACAAGGTCTTCTCTGCGGCTGCAGGACCAGGAGCATTTGCAGGGCCCCCGGCAAGCACCGGTGCCAAGGGTGGAAGAGGTGGCATAACAGGACAGTGCCGAAGCCGTGTGCCGGCTCCCGGGCTCCGCTCCAAACTGCCTTCAGCGCCACGTGGCACGGAGCCCAGCTCCTGGGCTTCCTCCCCGGGGACCAGGCGCCCGCACCGTTTCTCCATGTGAGACGTCTGCCGGGAACGCGACAGGGGTTTGCACACACGCAGTCTAGAGCTGCCGAGCTCTTTCTAGCGCTGCCGAGCTCTTCCCAGCATTTTGCAGCACACTCTCACGGACACAAAGGTGTCCTGACCCCTTGCTCCTACCTTGCAGTGAGTAAGAAACAGCAAAAACAGCAAGAAAGACAGCAAGGTCTCTTCCCCTGGCTAATTTTGCAGGCATAAAGCTGAATCCATGTTCCTTCTCTAACGTCCTTTTGTACCTGATCATCTGCATTAACAACAGCCAGTTTGTTTCCGTGCGTCTTTTTATTGCCTAAGGGGCAGATTTAAAAGAAGGGTAAATAAAAGACAGTGCTGGAGATGTGCCATTACGTCTTGCTTTTGGACAAGAGCACAGTGCCTGTGTTCCCCGTCTCAGGCAGACGGGCCCTCTGCTACTATCCAAAAGCCTTCAGAAATCATAACATACCTTCAAAATAATGCAAATTCCCTTTTGTGTTTTCAAGGTGTTTGCCACGGCCAGCTAGACACAGACATTTGAAAACATTCTGACTTGCTTTCTCATAAAAGCTTAGACTCACAAGCAATCTGAGCTCGTTAGCAGGGATATTGGGAGGAAACAGCTATTTCTTGGTTTGCTAAAAATCATTAAAAGTGGGAATAAAGCAGCCCTTTGCATTTACTGGGTTGCAGTATTGCTGTTTGCTGTATGGAGGCCAGGGCCAGATTTATGAAGGATTCTCAGCATCTTTAGAGGAATAAAGCCGCTTCCTTGCCTGCCCAGGGGCTGATACGGCTCCCACCACCCTGCACTGTTAGTGCCTTCCAGCATTAATTTGTTTTTCCTCTCTGGTGGAGAAGAATCTCCTTCACAGGTGGAGAAACAAGACAGGGGAAGACTAGCAAAAAGCAGGTCTTTGTAGGCATTTTTGGAAGAGTCTTAAGATGCTACCGAGCCCTGCTTCTCCCCCCCTTTCAAGCTATCAGCCCCCTCTCACAGCCCCCCAAATTATTTTTGTGAGTGCGCTGCCTCTCCTCGTGCAATGCGAGCCAGCAGAGGGAAGGAGGCCCTAACCCTGCTGTAAAGGCCGTTTAACTTGAGAGGCGCACGGCACTGTTGTCGCTCTGGCTTAGGATCGTCACGGCAAATTCTGCTCCAGGGACCAGGGGGTGGGAATTTCTCACTCAAACAGAGTTCAGCATTATCTTAAACCCACCCAGGAGCACGTGGGTCGTGCATCAAACCACGACGTGAGCACCACAGATTGGGCAGAGCAAAACCTAGCTTGCTCGCTCAGTTATAGGCCTGTCTGATTTTTAGCATCTGCTATCACCCAGAATCCCATTGTTTTTTACATCTTGACATTACATATAGACAGGGACGTGCCATGTTTCTATGCAAAACCAAATTTATAATTCCAGATGCATACAAATAAACCAAACGGCTACAGTAGCTCTTACCTTTATGTGTATTCCAGGCTGTTAGAGGCTTACTGGCTACATTAAATATTAAGCCATTTCCCTATACACTTCAAAGAGCACATTTTTTTTTTTTAAAGTTCATCAGTGGCGAGAAGTGCCATGCAAGGCTGTCTGGAATAACAAATACCTCTTTTTTTAGTCTGATCCAAAGACCCTTGACGTCGTCGCAAGGTTGAGGTCTTACTACTGATTTCAGCAGGCTTTGGCAGCAGCCTTGGGCCACAAAAAGGACGTAAGAGGTTGATGCAGCTTGAAGACTCCCTGCACTTGTCCTCTGCAGCTCAAACCTGATGAAGGAAGAGTCACCCAGGGTTCACTTACACTGCACCGCACGCAGCCTCTCTCAGGGGCTATAGAAAGAAGTGGCCACTTGAAGGAACTTCAGAGATTAGTGGAGAGCAGGTCCATTAAGGGCTATAAAAATGAACGCTCCAGGTGTATCTTCTCCTTCAGGATGTCCACTGTATGGAAACATCACCAGCAAGGGCTAGGCAGGCTCCAAGGGGTTCAAGCCATGCAGGTCCCCAGAGGTCATCCAGCCCATGGGGCACCTTCCCTGGATAGTTATACTTCAAGGAGCTGCAGCCTCAGCTGTTTGGACGTGCCGGGTGCTGCACAAGAAGAGGTAAAGTTCAGCCCTGAGATTCGGAAGTGAAAGAAGAACAGCCATGAATTTGCAACGATGGGGTCAGTACAGGAGTGTGATAGCCCAGACCCATCACGTCCATTATCTTTTTGAGATAATCCTATTTAAAACATGCTTTTCAGGTCCATTATCACTTTGAGATAATCCTGTTTAAAATGTTTTCTCCTAAACATACTTCCCAAGTGTCAAGCTTGGTTTCTCTGCTCAATCTTTGGGCAAAAATCCCGTCATTTTAAACCAGTGTTTGCCTAAATCTGAATAGTTGTGAAGTGATAACTAACGTACCACGTTGAAATGAAACGTGTTTCTCTTTTTTCCCAGTTGGTCTCACGCGCTGACATTTGTATCCTGGAAAACCTGGATGACATCTGGCTTCCTCGCAAGCTGCCGCGCCAGCGTGCCCGTGCTATCCGGGGCATCTTGCAGCCCAGCACGGAGCAGGATCCGCGCGGCGTCCGCCTGCTGCCCAGCGCACGCTGCGTGCAGGGCTGTGGGGGAGACAAGATGTTGAGACAGGAGCTGAGATTGCCCGGTACATTCAGCCTCAGCCCGCTTCAGATGCAAACATCAGATTCCCAGTGAAAGAAACCGAGTCAGCGGAGGGAACACATCAAGGGTGAAAGATGACTGTTCCCAGTTGCAACACCCAGCCAAGCAGCCGTGTGATGGCACAGCAGGGCTCAGCTGCCGCGGCCGTGCATGTCTACAGCAGCAGTGGGATGACTAAACCTGCACAAGCAGCGGACACGTCCTCTTCCACACCCAGCTGTGAGCCTGGCTTACCCCAGCTATTACCCTGTCTCCCCCTTGCAGATTACTAGTCCCTCCAATCCATCAAGCAGTACTAGCCTGGCTGAGCCAAAGCTAACCAGGTTTGCAAACATATTGGGTGTATTTAAGCCAACTTGGTTCATTTTGACTGAGTCATGGGCAGAGGGTGCCCACAGCAGGAGGGCTGTGGGACAGAGCAGAAGGCCTCCAGGCTTCTTACTGCTCTGTGTTTGGGGTGGATTCAATAGTGACATGCAAGAGAGGGGCTTGAAACTACTCTGGATGTGACCGGGGTCCTTTATGGGCTGGGGGTCCCTGTCAGCTCACTCCAGGGTCAGGGAGTAAATGAGAAAGGTTTCCATGCACTGCGTGCAGCAAAGAGCATCCCAACAGGAGGAGGCTGAAATACTCCAGCCCAAGCCCTAGCTCATCCCACAGACCCCTCTGACAGCCAGCACGCTGATCCAGCATGGCTCCAGCACAGTTAGGCAGTCCTGTTACACTTGGCTTGTGCAGCAGGGTGAGACAGCCTTCTTCTCCCGGCCCAATCCTGCACAGGGGTGAGTATTTTTTTTATGCTGAGGGTCGTTAGCTCCTGCTGCAGGCTGATGTTGACCATGGGGCATCCTGATCCCCATGGATAATCCATTTAGGACACTTTGCAGGAGTGGAGTCTGGGTGAGAAGCTCCCCAGGATGCAGTGACACTAACGCAGCAAAGGTGCCGGGGAACGGGGCAGCCGACGGGCACGAGGAGGCACCACAAATGTCCCAGCATTAGACGAGTTCAACAGAACTCAAATTTACTCACTGAGGGGGTGGAAGGGGAGAGTGAGAGATACAAGACTGTTCATGCTCGCCAGTGAAGCATGTTATTAAGCAAACCTGAAGACTGGGTAAGTTGCCAATTTTGGCAATGGCTGAAACCATTTATATATACTTTTTTTGAGAGAGAGATGCTGATGCAAGAGATGCCTCAGACTCTCACGCTGGGAATGCCAACTCACTGGCATTACTATAGCAACTATATTTACATTCAAGCTCTGTTATTATTTGCTCATAACCTATTCCTAGGCAGTTTGCTAACAAATTGAGGCTTAAGAGCTTGTGCAATTGTTGTATTTGTCTGCCTACCCTAACCGTTTCAAACTGGCTAATTTCAACCAAATTTGATGGCAAGGCGGTGGTATCAAAGATACTAAGCTCCTGAAAGTTTCATGCAAAATAAGCAGCTGGGTAAAGAGAAACACCAATTAGCATCTCTGTTCTTCCCCCAGGGGAAAGGCCCCAGTGCAGGCTCAACCACGCCATTAGACATCAGAAAGTCCAGCAGGAACAGAGCCAGTGAATGAAAACTGCAAAAAAACCCAGGCTTCACATGTCACACTGCTCCAAGAGCTTTTTGCATATGTGCATCTGGCATCTCCTTGCACGCTCCACTGAGCAGACGCAGCGCGGGCTGCTTTGGAGGCTGGGCTCCTGTTACTAAAGCACGCTCTCGCTGTCATACAAAGGGTGAACAAATACATCGGCAGCCTTACCAGAACGGCTCTTCCCATCCTTTGCATGGACATCAGCGCCAAGGGACAGCAGTGTCTGGATGGTGTGTGCGTGTCCTTCCTGCAGTGGTCAAGACAGGCACGTGGAATTCAGAATCAGCTCTGCACAATTTCTCACCTTTGCATTTAGCAGAAATAACTCAGGCCTGAAAAGAAAGGAAGCCGCAAGCAATCTGTCCCTAACTTCATACAGCACCTGGAAGGGCACAGATGCAGATCCACTCTTTCATGGTGAAGTCTGGGCCTACCAGGAGCTGCTTCAGGCTCCAGAGGACCTTACAGCAGCTGGAAATCAGGGTCAGCTGCCTGTGGCAGTGCAAGTCCAGTCCATTAGCCAGGGATTACCCAGGCACAGCAGACACACTGCCATTACCCCACAGGAATTGGTCAGAGAGATGCCACCAGCACCTTCTCCAGCCCTTCTGCTGGCTACCTGTGAGAGGAGTCGGAGCTTGGCCCTCAGTCAGCGTGTTTGCATGCCTCGCATGCCCCCGGCAGTGATTTTGACCCAGAGGCTGAAAAACCAGCAAGACGCATCCCAGCAGCAAATATTTAACACTGTTTTAAAACCAAAAGTGTTCAGTTAAGACCAACAGTGCTTAAAATCATGTTACAGTGCAGAGCTGTCTCTGGTTGCGGTGGTGGTACAGCCAAAGACTGAGAGCGGAGCCTCGGCAGCGCAGGTGTGATAGACATACAACCCAGTCCAGACCCAGGCAGGTGGATCTGCTTTTAGACAACTCTAGATCCCATATGATCTTCTTGATTGTGGTCAATAGATCCGCTTTGCATAGCCAGGACCTTCAGGTGTGAGGAATTTGGAGGATTGTCTCCCAGCACAGCTTTGCCTTTGCCGGTGGCTGTGGAGGAGTTAATGCACAAATGACATCTGACTTAAAACTGGGTGACACAACCTAAAGATGTTTCTTAATAGCAAATTAGTGCACTAATTTGTCAGCTGATCTTGCCTTTGCCTCTCCAGTCCTCACCTCCAATCAAGCAACTCAATTAAATTGCTTTTAACTTCAGCTGGCCACAGAGCTGTAGGATCTCTGATTTACCTTTCATAATTGGCAGCTGGCTGTTTGTTAAAAGGACTAAATGTCAGCAAAAAGCCATGTGTTTTCCCACACTGTAAATCCACTTTAAGTACCATGGGGATCTAGAGTTGCTCTTACTAAGGTGTATTTCAGCTCAGAGAGCAGAACCTGTTGCTGATGGGCCTGTTGCGCATCTGCCTGCGGTACCTTCAGGCACCGGCATTTCCTAAAGGATTACTCCAATATTTGTAATGCCCTGTGAGAAGACGCAGAATGCCATCCTTACACACCGTCATGACCCACAGTGTTGTCTATCTTTCCTCCGCCAGTAGCCAATTTTAAATGCTGCAAGGGAAAATGCAATACAGCCCCCACACCCCTCCTCTCTGCACGAGGTTCTCTGTAGATAAATCCTCTCTCCTTAAATAATGCGCCTGATTTTGTAATTACTTCTTCAGTGCAATGAATTAGTCTTTGTCATGTGGCATGAGAGTGGAAGGCTCTTATTTTTATCCCCACCACCCACTCTTTTCCCCCATTATCGTACGACTTAGTAGCATCTTCCCCCCTGCTCAAGGCTCCTATTTCCCTGCTGCATGCACACCCCCTCTCAGTGGCAAAGACAGCAAGCCAGGAACTGCTTTAGCTGCCACAGCCTTGGCAGCAAATTGAGTTGAAAGCGTAATTTGATTTTCATGTATTTATAAATGCAAAGTAATAAGAAAAGAAGAAAAAAAAACACCAGCCAAACAAATGATGCTGTAAATATAAAGTGACACTGAGCCTCGGGAAGGAAGAGAAACCCATCAAATCGCTCCCCAATCAGCTGCTCGCCAAGACAGAGCTGGGATCTTCTCCAAGGCACATTATATTCCCCAATAGCCTTGCTGTTAAACGTACCCTTGGCAACCAAAAGGGCTTTCAACATGGTTTCTCAGAGCATGAGGAAGGGAAGCTGGGAGAAAGGCCTCCTTTGTGGGAGCCAGCAAATGCCACGGCTGGGTCCTGCTGGAGGAGAATACTGTTGCCAGCACTCCCAGTAAGTGTCATTGATGCTTTTGTAGGAGTGGGGCGCTGGGATGCTGCTTCGTTCCCACTACAAGTCTAGACCAGGCTCTGAGTGCTGCCTGTTAAAGCTCATGAGGTTTCACGTGCAGGGATCTGAGCTGGGACCTTCCCTTGCCACCAGCTGCCAGCATGCTGCACACTGGGGTGTGACAGCATCAAGCAGAAGGGAGGCAGCAGGGTCCCAGGAGGGATCCTGGTCAGCGGTGAGGCTTTTAAGATCTGCTCTGCATTCCCAGGGAGCATTGCAGGACCCACAGCCCACCAGGCCCTGCTTCCCACATGGGCATGAGATGGGAGGAGGAGAAAGCTCAAACGACTCACTGCCTGGAATTCAAAACAGCTCCTGTGCGAAGGACACAGATAAGCACCCACGAGCGAACTCCGCCTTTCCACCTCTCCTTTCTCACGTCTGGCCACAGGCAGGCCAGAATCCAGCCTACTGGGACAAACAGTTGCTGTTTCACAGTGCATCAGCCATATCCTGCCCAGCAAGCTGCTGACATGGAGACTGGCTACTGACCCCCTGGGACCCAAGCCACTGGGGCTGAAGAAAAATAGAGAAAGAAATCCGAGCAGCATTTCATCCACATCTCCTCTGCCAGGCAAGTGAGAAGACGCTGGTGAAGAACTATCACAGCTCATGAACTGTTGGTACCTACAGCTCCCAATAACTAGCAGGGTGGACTCCCTTCAGGTATTGCACTTTGGTCCAAAGGCAGTGGACTGGAAGAGTAACGCTCGCCAGAGGTGTGGGTCAAGTCCTATCCACAGCATGGCCAACTGTGCCCTATTGCCACCCGCCTCTGCTCCTGCACGATCCCACTCAGCCACATGCCAGGCAGGAGGATTACTAAGCCACAGCACAGTCAGCAGCATGGGCAGAAGAGTGGTGAACACAGCAACTCAGATACCCACTGCCACTCTGCAGACAGCTGGACACACTTAACAAGGGTCTAAAAACCATTAAACAGAGTATGGGACTGGTCAGGAGCAGACAGACAGTGACAGAGGATGAGCTAGGAATGTAAATCCTCCATCAGTGGCAAACATCTAAAAGAGCTTGTTTTAGATGCCTGCGTGTAGCACACCAATTGGCAAAGACTTTGTAGAGGAAGCCTGGAAACAGGAACAAACCTTGGCTGCGTAGTGCAGTGCTGTGAGTTGGAGGGCCGTTGCTCTCTCGTTGACATCAACACCCAGCTTGGAGACGAGGAACTGGATGGCTTCATCCTGGGCCGTGACGGCTGCCCGGTGCAGAGGTTGAGCGCCCAGCACATCCACGGCTGAAGGACAGGCCTGGAATGGAGGGGAGGATGGAAAGGGAAAGCAATGAACCACCCGGCCAAACTTTCAAGGACAATCATCAGCCCAAGCAGAATCATGTCTGCCTGCCATGGCGACAGCAATGAACACATAGGATGTCACCACCAGGACTGGTGCAGTTGGACTTAATGATCTTAAAGGTCTCTTCCAACCTAAATGATTCTATGATTCTATGATTTGCAGACCAGAGCCAGCTCTCTGCTGAGCTTTTTAAGTGATAAGCAAAACTAGCGCCAAAAAAGAACCAAGCCCCTCCCTCTCTTCAGCTGAAGCACATATGATGGGTTTCAGCTCTTTAAAGCAGCTTGAAACAACCCATCTCCAGCTTCTGTGCTGGTGGAGAAGAACTTGGATGCAGGTAGAGGGAGGGAGATGGGTAGATGACCTCATGAGATCTCTTCTGTGGGTCTCTGAATGTGAACCGCAAAGACATAAAATCAAGAAGGGTAACGGAAGTAATACACAGTGCACTCATCTTAAAGGATATAATCCAGCCTCTTGAAGCCTAGTGGGCCTGACTCATGGTTTTATAAAACCTAGAAGGTAGCAACACTGCCATTAGTGTTTCCAGTGCTGCTTCATGGCAGTAAGCCAGGGCACCACAACGAGGAAATTAAATCAACTCTTCCATCTTCACTGCCTGAAATGCGAAACTAAAAGTGTAAACAAACTTCACAAATGTTTCATCCTGTAAGGGCCAGATGAGCGAAGACAAGCACATGAACACCTCCTGAAGTCAACAAGTACCTACATACTCAAGCACAACCTGGGCATCAAACCACCTCTGCTGAGTGAGGCTATGTGTTAAGGCTGAGTAAGTCCAAAGCTAGTGATCTTGAAAAGTGTGGTACCCCATTCCCTGGCCCATTCCGTGCCACGCTGGGTGCTCAGCTGGCCGATTCAACCTGCCAGCGTGGCACAAACAGATTCACTGTTTTTGCCATGCTAGCTTTCTGCCAGGCCAGTGAGGTGCCCCGGTTTGGCGTGGTGTCTGATGAACACCAGAGCTGGTGCAGGGGAGAGGCAAAGTGAGGGCAAAGTAGGTGAGAAGGGAGACACAACCCCACCTCTGTGAGAATCAGCCATTAGGTGGGCTCCAACCATCTCACATCAGTTCAGCAGTCAATAAATAATGCAGTGGTCTGGTTCCTGCTACGCACAATTGGCTCTAATGACATCCCTGTTACACCTTGTATGTTGGAGGAAATCAGAGATTACTGGGAGACAATACAGGAGCAGCAGCTGCCATGAGAGAGGGAGGCCAGAGATGAGCTGCTGCTGGCGCAGCCAGACATCTCCACGTTATCGACCCTCAGCGATGCCACGAGAGGCTCCATGCTGAGCCCTGGCACTCCCAAGTGCTGGTCTTGGCTTTGACACAGCTGCCCCTGCAGCGCTCAGCAAGTCCTGTCCCCTCCTGCCACTGCCTTGTGTCTCCATCCCCCTTCACCAGCTATGGGGACATATCTCTGCCCCAGGGTGAGATCTTCACCATGAGCTGAGTCCTGGTGGCCTTACTCAGCAAAATCTTGCTCATCTCCAGAGGGCATTTGCCTTCTTTCACAATTGACTTCTTTACAATTTGGGAATTTGCTTCCTTGCAACATGGTTATGGTGAATGCGCAGATTGCCTGTCCTGGCAGTTCTAGGTCAGGTCCTGGAGGAGGGAGTTGAGGTTTTGGCACCTACCTGGTGTTTTTCCAGGAGCAGCCGGGCAATGTTGACGTGCCCGTTCTGGATAGCATCCATAAAGGGAGTGACTCCACATTTGTCTCTGCTGTCAGGTTTGTACTGGCACCTTTGAGAGAAGACAAAAGCCAGGACAGAGTTGTTGGCAGCTCAAAAATCCTTACTGCACTAGTTGCTTTGCATTGGTGGTGCAGGAGACTATCAGCGGATAGGATTGGAAGTGGCATATATAAAGCCTGTCCATAGACCATGCATAAACCTGTCTCAGTGCTTTACAGCCTGATGTATGGTCTGCTGGGATTTTTTGGGTCAGAGATCTGGTACTCAGCTGATGCAACTTCTTCAGGCTGCAGAAAAGCCAGGGCTCTACAGATCATTTCGATTTCCCTTGCCCCCTGAACAGAGGATCTCTAGAAGGGGTAAGGTGTGCACTGGCAGCGGGGAAAACCATATCCTCATGTAACTACGCCATGTACAAAATCAAAGCTCACAGGTCTCACTCAGGTTAAAGCTCCATTGAAATGAGAGAAGACTGCATTAAAATTGAAAGCCTGGCTCAAATCACAGGGCTATGTTTATGCTGGGCCAAGCATGGACAGGAATTAACAAGGCTGGGACAAGTCAGCTAGCAGGAGCTGTGGCTAGCAGTGGCTGTGATGCCCAGGGAAAGCTACTCCAGCTCTGGCAGTGGGCAGTGCTGGTAAGGAAGGTAACAGGGTCAGGATGACTGGGCACAGGCTGATTTAAAGCCACTTCACAGCAGTCTCCCAGAAGCCACAGTCTGAAAATAAAGCCTGGAGGCTGAGTCCAGCCTAGAGGAGCTGCACCCAGAACCGAGCTGTCAGAAAACAGTTTTGTTGTTATTGTATGGCCTCGGACACATCGGAGGCAATGGGAATGAATCAGCACAGAAAAAGAGCAGAGTTATATAACCGGGGCTTATGTCATAGCGAAGTCAGAGCCCATCGGAGCCCATTCGGAGACTGTCCTTGTCTCAAAAGCCCCTAACCGGCCGTGAAAAACCCAGAGGAAACAGAGATGGCCTTGGGATCACATGCAGGGCAGCTGTGCAACCGGGCTTCCCGAATGGCATAAACTCCCTTTGTGTCCGGGCGGCTGGAGCGAGCCTGGTGGTGGACAGGAGGCGGGGGAGAGCGGGGCGGCAGAGGCAGTGCTGGGAGGAAGCCTGCTTACCGCTCCAGGAGCAGCTCCACAATGTCAAAACAGCCGTGCATTGCTACGAGAGGGAGGAAATGCATGGTTAATTTATGTTTTCACGCCACCGCCCACCTACAGTGAAACAGAATCAGGTTTCTGACCCTTTTGGCTTACTCATGATGAGGGAAAGGGTTCTGAGAGGCTTTAAATTCAAAGCTTTTGATTATTATCTTTTTTTTGTAATTAAAACATTGTCTCCAGATCTCAAGCCTTCCCCTCCCCTGATCCTATAGGAAAACACCAGATAAACCAGGGAAAAGGCATACATATAGGCACCATTTGCCTCTACCTGCAGAGTACATGCGTGAGAGCATATATGCAATTAAGCTGACACAAAGATCTTTTCTTGCAAGTATTTGTTAATCCCTGAAATGAAATGTGTGAGAAGCAAAATGAACACAAAGCAGGGAGCTGGTGAATAGCTGGATGGCATTTCCACCCCTCCTCAGCCACTCAAACTACCCATCACTCCCATCTAATCACCCTAATGAAGCATCCTCACCCAGACAGCATCTCGGAGGAAAAACAACAACAGTGGGGGAGGATTTGAACATCATGCACTGAAATATCCTCCCTCTATTTTTTTAAAACACATCGTATTACAGCAATGTAAGGACAGTCTCATTCTGGCTTTTTTTCTGCAGGTCATTTTGCAAAACAAATGAAATACTGAAAAAAAATAAATATCAAAGCAAGCCCAGAGCTGCTACATCAGGCTATTTACTCTGTGCGATGAAAGAAGGGCTCCTGACAAATGTGTGTTACCAGCAATAACCTTCAGACGCAGCTGCACAATAGATGCTCTTTGAAAGCCCAACGAAGGGCTCCCATCCTCCCAGACCTTGGCCATTTGCTCCTGCTCCCTGCCCGTTTATCACCCCTTCACCTGAGCTGATGTAAATACAGGCAGAGCCACACTGTGAAAAGGATTTTTTAAATGGAGGCTTTAAAAAACCCAAGCTACGTGAAGAAAAAACACCCCAAGCAACGCATCCTTTAACAGCAACAGAGACACAAGAAAGCTGCAGTGCTCAGATCCACTGTTGCACTCCACTTCCTCTAATTACATGTCCCCCGCTCTCTTGCCTCAGGCTACGGATATATGAAGCAGCAAAGCTTAAGGAATCAACCAGAAAAAAAAATGCACGGGGGAGAAAATTACCCATCATCTATGCAGGGATAACTGTGCCAGGAAGCCAGCTGGACTGGTCACGGGTTAATGTGCTCATATCCACACCCTTGGGATCTAAACTCATTGAGACAGTGGTTCATCTTGACATGATTTCCATCCCCCCAGCAGCTCCAGCATCATCTCCGGCCCCTCGCCCGTGCCCCCGCCTCAGGAGCTGTGTCTGTGTAACTCAGCTACGTGGTGGTGTGTGGGGATGCTGGCACCAGCACCCACCAAGCAGCAGCCCCCAGCGTTGTCCTGGGTTAAAATTATGCTGGGGGCAAAGGTGGTTTAAGCAGCTCCAGCCCTTCCCGCTGCCCAGTCGCTCCTGCACCAGCTGCTGCTCTGCCAATGTGTGTGTCCAGGGTCTAACCTGGATCGGTAAAATGATCAGAAATCAACCCAAATCATGGGTTGATGGCTTTGCCACAATGAAAGTCAAACATAGGAGGCAACACAGAGGTCAAGACACGTCTATGAAGCAGTGAGAACTAGGCACTGGATCCCACCATCACTGTCTGTACCCCTGTATCCCAAGTGCTACGAGGCAGGGAGGAGACTTTAAACTCAAGGTCAAAAGGTCTTTTTCCTCAGGACAGTCCTCACCCTGCTCCTGACCCCATCCCCAGACCCTCAAACCCCAGATCCCAACCCAACATCCATGTCTCTGCAAGGAGAGGGCTGAGACGGGGCTGCGAGCCCAGCCAGCCAGCCCAGACACGGAAACACAAGACCTGGGATTGAGCAGGGACAGGAGAACATGCAAATAAACGAGGATTAGCCATTTCTCATTCAGGCAACCTGCTCCTTGCTGCCCAGCCTGAAATATCAAACAATTCATCAGCTATTTTTCATTCTCAGGCCAAGCACAAGGACTAAGGCACAGCCAATGCCCCTGGGCTGGGACTGTCACTGCTGATGAGCAGTGCGGTGGACAGGCGGCTACTGAGGGCCGGAGAAGTAACAGGAATGACAGCCAAGGAGCAACATACCCAATAGATTAATTACAGCACAGCAGGGGTCTCCTCACGATACCTTGGGTCTTTGCGGAGAGTCAATCCCTATTAAACTCTTTGGGAAATGAGTTTAGGTAGCCGCAGCTTTTGAGCTGTGGCTCCCCACACTCATCTCTCCTGCGGAGACACTGCCGAGCCCTGGGACACACAGCTTAATCCCCGCTCATGGATGGGATGTGTTTCAGATTCAGGTCAGCCACCAACCTCCAGCCTCCAGCCTGCCCCACAACATCACCCTGACTTGGTGTCACACAATTCTCCCTTCGCTCCCTTGCTCCCTCCATCGTCCACTCTCACTGCATCTCTGGAGGGCAGAGTTAAGGGGATTTAAGTTCTGGGATGACCCATGCTTTATCTGCACTGCCTAGCTTGCACGGTCTGTGGGTAACCAGACCTGATACTCTGTAAGGGGCAATGAGACACGGCAGGACAAACTTAGTTCTGCATTAACAGATTTTTGGGCCATTCAACTTATTGAGACTCAGAGAACTTAACTGAGGCACACCTTGTGCTTCATTCATAAATTAAGATTAATCACTGCATTTCAAGGTTGAAAGAGTCGGAAAGCCAGAAACCAAATCCAAACTGCCTCTGGGTCACTGTTCAGCTAACTGCCCTTCTGCTCCCCACCATGCCTGATGACATCTGTGGTTCCTCAAACCAGTTCACTCCCTGCATTTGTCCTTTTAAACCAATGAAAGGGGCAGACAAGGGGAATCGGACAAAATGCATTCCAACACTAACAACAGCCCCTGCATATTCCCAGCAGAGACTATCCTTCCCCTTTGCAGAAAGGCACTCTGGATTTCTCACCGCTAGATATTACCTTCTTAAGAGCAATGTGAGAATACCAAAACCTGTGATGCTTCTTCTGGTGGTTACACCTAGAGACCCTACAGCTCTTCAGATTTGCCATAATGACCTAAACCACCAAGCATTCGGACAAAAATGGATCATTTTGAGAGATACGGCTCTTACAAAAACTGATGACAAGACTAGAAACCAAACTGGTAAATATGTCCATCAACAGGTAGATCCCAAAAGGTGTCTCTCAGCAGCTCTGCTGCTTTTAGGACTTTTAAAATGCCAGGATATGCTTGGAGCCTTGCAGATTTTCCAAGTGCAATTTGCAGCTTCATATGCCAGCAAGGGAAAGTGTATTGCAATGTGTTCTGAGCTGTGGGAGCTTGGATATATCTGTCACAGGGAGGCAGAGATGGAGACAAACACCCTGGTCCAAGGAGGCCAAAGTCAGTGGGTCATCACGAGCGCTCCTCGGATGGATCCACCACTCCCAAGAGAACATAACTGTTATGCACCACAAAAACATGCTTTGAGTACAGGCAAAATCCAGTCAAATGGGAACTGAGGACCCTCCAACCTCACAAGCTCAGTCTTTGGCACATCATTAAGAAATATTAAGCCTAATGCTTGCTGTTTATTTATCTGAAAGCAACTAAAATGAGTGTCTGTCCTGAGGTGAAACCCTGCAAAGATGCAGCAGAGCACTGTTAGCAGACTGAAGTTCAGAGAGGTGAGCTCCCACTAATGCCCACCACTAGCCCCTTTTCATTTAATTTCAATAACTTAGTATTTAGCTGTTTCCCTGTGGTTTTGTATCAGGTCACACTTTGCTTCTCCAAAATAAAGGTGAACTGAAACAATAGCCCCCTTCTGTTCTCCGCTGCCATCACAGGCCACTCTTCTCTTCCAACCCCTCCGGTGGCAACGGGACCCTCTTTTACCTGCTGTGTGCAGAGGCGTTCTCTTAATTGTGCTCTCTGTGTCCCAGCTGCTCGGGGACATGTCCAGCAGGTACCGGAGGACCTGGGGATGGCCCTCACGGCTCGCGATGTGGAAGCAATTCCAGCCATCCTTATTCTTCAGCAGTGGGTTGGCTCCATGCTCCACAAGAGCTTTGATCACCTCCAGGTTTTGCCTGGTGCAAGCCATCATTAGGGGAGTCCTGAAAGAAAGACAAGGCAAACCTAATAACCAGAGAGACAGTGCCGTACAAGTCTGATGGCTTTTGTTCTAACGTCTGAGCTTGAAGTATGATTTAAAGTTGTCTGTAGCACCAACTGGCCTGTCTCATAAAACACAGTAGCTCAGTGCCAGCTGTGGTGAGCTAGCCAGAGGGAAAACTGATGTACTAAAACCCATCTGAGGTAGTAGGAAACTTTGCTGGCTCAAGGCAAAGACCTTCTTCAAGCCCAAGGCTAAATTTATCATCCCACCTGGATTCAGATGCTTTGACTGAGGCTCACCACGTGCTGCATACGGACCTGTGAGATTTTACAGCACTGCTTTTTCATGCAGGTAATACTGGGTCTGGACTTTTGGGGACTGTTGAGACAGAGCTGTTAACATCAGTGTTTCTTACGCCAGCCAGTCACCCAGAGAGGCAGCTATGGCTGCAGGCAGCAAACCACGGACAACTCTGCATATCCTGGCAGTAGAGCATGAGTGTACCAGCAAATGCCACTCTGGAACATTTCTAATGCAGAGCAGCTGGCCTGAGAGTGAAGCTTTTCACAGTTTTGTCCTGTTTCAAATGTCTGGGAACAACCTTTGACACTTATAAACATAAAATGCTCCAGCTGTAAGGACAGATAAGGTCAGGAAGAGTGTGCTGAGAAGGGAGATAAAATCTCCAGTGATGGAGATCTTTAAGAAGAGATTAGACACGTGTCTGCTGGAGACGATGGGGTAGAGCTGAGCGTGGAGCTCTGTGTTTCCTGCAGCTCTGTTTCTGTACAGTGCCTCAGATCAGCGTATATTTTCAATGCAAATGAGACTTTGTCCAAGGGCTGGGACATGCGCTAGCAAGCACGTAGCTCCCCATTTTCAATCCATGGATGGAAGGGAACTGCAGGCCTATCACACAAAACCAGGCTCGCACACACATCTGCACGCAGCTCATGAGATCTCTGCCTCCCTCTGCTCCCCCTGATGACAGCATGACACTGGCATAGCCTCGAATTACGAGGACTAGGATGCTGCCTTTGTATTTATGTTAGTTCAGCTTCAAAATGACCTCCCTGGGCTTTAATTTGTGGGCTGGAGAGAATCTTTGCCTTCTTTTGGCAAGGTGGTACACAGAAATCTCCCTCCCCAAGAAGAGGCTTTGACATTAATCAGGCCTGCTGCTTTTTTGTGGATTAGGCTTTATTTTTTATTCCCCATTCTCAGTCCCTCATCATTTGCTTACGTGTTTCCCACGTGGCAGGCAAACAAAAACCCTGAAGAAACCACTTGTTTCTTGGGTTCTTGAGGCTGTTCCTAATATATCAGTAGCAAATCTGACCTAAGAGGCTCTGCTTGCTGAGGGGAAACAGGAGTAAAACTTACTTTTTACCTTTTTATTTCAGTTTCTGAGGACCGGTACACAAAAATGTCAATCAGTATCACTGATTCCCATCCAACAGGGGCATGGGGAAGAACGAATAGCTGCAGATGAAAACTTTTAAATTGGATCTGCTAATGAAGCAGTAATTTACAACTTCTACAATAAACAGGGGGAAATCAGTGATAGGGCTGGAATTTAGCCCAGAAAGCCAACCGTATCCTGGGCTGCATCAAAAGAAGCGTGGCCAGCAGGTCGAGGGAGGGGATTCTGCCCCTCTGCTCCGCTCTGGTGAGACCCCACCTGCAGTACTGCCTTCAGCTCTGGGGTCCTCAGCACAGGGCAGACATGGACCTGTTGGAGCGGGTCCAGAGGAGGGCCATGAAGATGATCAGAGGGATGGAAGACCTCTCCTGTGAGGAAAGGTTGAGAAAGTTGGGGTTGTTCAGCCTGCAGAAGAGAAGGCTCCAGGGAGACCTTCTAGCAGCCTTCTAGTACCTAAAGGGGGCTTGTAAGAAAGACAGGGAGGGACTTTATACAAGGGCATGTAGTGACAGGACGAGGGGTAAGAGTTTTAAACTAAAAGAGGGTAGATTTAGACTAGATATAAGGAAGAAATTTATTATGATGAGGGTGGTCAAACACTGGCCCAGGTTGCCCAGAGAGGGGGTCGATACCCCATCCCTGGAAACATTCAAGGTCAGGTTGGACAGGGCTCTGAGCAACCTGATCTAGTGGAAGATGTCCCTGCTTATTGCAGGGGTGTTGGACTAGGTGACCTTTAAAGGTCCCTTCCAACCCAAACCGTTCTGTGATTCCATGATTCTAAATGACGGCTCCTGCAGTTCCATTCCCACCTTCCACATCCAAGCCCCTTTCAGATATCACTCTGACCCACAGCAAAGCAATCCAGTGACCTACCAGTCTGCCTTTTTCAAGCAGTCTACGCTTGCGCCTCTCTCCAGGAGGTAGGAGACACACTCCCCATGGCCCATGGAGGCCGCTTCGTGGAGGGGTCTTTTGTAGTCGCTATTAAACGCCTCAATGTCCATCCCCAGCACCTCTACCAGGTAGGCGAGGACGTCCCGGTGCCCGTATCGGGCAGCGTGGTGCAGCAGCGTGTCCCCCGAGCGCCCATAGCGCTGGCTCCGCACTGCTGGGACCAGCGCATCGTCCGGCCGCAGCTCATCCCGGAGGAGGTCCAGCCGTCCTTCCTGCACCAGCCGGAGGAGCGGCCTCGGCCTCTCCCCCTCCGCCATGGCTAGAGATCTGGAAGAAAGGCCAAAATCAGGATTATGGTTTCAAACTGTGGGAATACAATGGCCACTCCCTGGGTCGGGATAACCAGAAATTACCTTCTCCATCAGAAAAAAACAGAACCTGGCCTCTTCCTCCAGAAAAACAATAAATTTCCTTTTCCATCAGCAAATCTACAAACCGGCCTCTCCCTCAGGGGAAATTTCCTTGTCCCTCAGGATAACTAGAAATTTCCTTTTCACTCCAGAAAACCAGAAACTGGCCTCCACTTCAGCAAACCCAGAAATTTCCTCTTCCCTTTGGAAATCCAGGAACCAGCCTCTCTCTCAGGGAAAAACAGAAATTTCCTTTTCCCTCCCCAAAACCAGGAACCAGCTTCTCCCTCAGTAAACCCAGAAATTTCCTTTTCCCTTGGGAAAACTAGGAACTGGTCTCTCCTTCCAGAAGACAAGAAATTGCCTTTCCCTTAGGAAAACCAGGGTCCAACCCCTCCCTCAGGAAAAACAGAAATTCCCTTTCCCCTCAGGAAAACAAGAAACTTCCTTTTCACTTGGGAAAACAGGAAACTAGCTGCTCCCTCAGGAAAAACAGAATTTTCCTTTTCCATATGGAAAACCAGGAACCGGTCTCTCCCTCAGAAAAAAAAGAGAAATTTCATTTTCCCTCAGGAAAACTAGAAACCAGACTCTCCCTGCGGAAAAACAGAAATTCCCTTTCCCCTGAGGAAAACTAGAAAATTCCTTTTCCTCTTAGGAAAACCAGAAACCAGCTGTCCCCTCAAGAAATCCAGAAATTTCCCTTTCCCTCAGGAAAACCTGAAATTTCCTTTTTCCTCGGGAAAATTAGTAATTTCCTTTTCCCTCATGAAAACCAGAAACCAGCCTCTCCCCCAGAGAACCCAGAAATTCTCCTTTCCCGTGGGAAATTCGGAAAATGACCTCTCCTTCAGCAAAACCAGAAATTTCCATTTCCCCTCTGGAAAATCAGAAAGCAGCCCTTTCCTCAAGAAAACCAGTAATCTCCTTTTCCCTCCAGAAAATGGGAAATATTCCCTTTTCCCTCAGGAATACTAGAAATTCCCTTTTTTCCCTCAGGAATACCAGGAACCCGCCTTTCCCCCAGGCTGGGCACCCACCACGTTTCCCTCTCCTCAGCCCACGTCGTGGCGGGTCCCTTCGCAGGGCGTTCCGCGGCGGTTAAAACCCACCCGCGCTCTGCTGGGGCTGCGTGACGTCACGCGCGGCGGCGTGATGTCACCGCCGCGGCACAGGCTGGGGGGGGGGTGGTGGTGGTGACGGTCAACAAACTCCGGGAACAATTCCGTCGGCCCCGATCGGCGTTATCCCAAACGCGGAAGAGCTGCGCCATTGGGCAGCGACAGGTCGCCGCGCGTTCTCTGATTGGTCGGAGGCGCGGGGCGGGGCGGGGCCGGCGGGACCGCGGGGGGGACGCGGGAGGG